ATCGCAGTTTAGATTAGGCTTGTTTCTTTGTTAACACACGAATCGCAGTTAGCCAACACTAAAGGACACGATTATATTCCGACGACGGTATAGACACGCCGAATGATCGATGCTCCGAGAGTCATATACGTATAAACAATCGCGAGATCAATAGAAACGAGCGTAGACATGTCAGTGACGTCAGCTTTGTGGATCTAATATTTCCGTTGTTTCACGACGCGGCCGACAATGCAGCGACTCGCGGTCGCGGATTTCGATTCGACCCCTCTGAGCGGCGAAAGGGAAACATTTTTCTCTCTCGGTGTTCCGTTGCTTACCATTGCCAAATTACGAAAAGCGCGTTATCGATTCTGATACCCCGCCGGCGTTTCTCTCTACTCGGGAAATATTCCCTCGCTTAGCCATTTTAGACCCCCGAGAACAAAAAAACGTAGGGCGCATACATTTCCGCGAGCGTCAATAGGCGATCTCCGCGATCGTGTGTAATTGCATAAAACACGTCGCGGGAACTGGGTCAGGTGCTTTATGGATTAATTCGAAGCAACGCGAGTTTCGTGACGCCGCCGGCACAGACTTCCGCTCTTCGATTACGTTAATGAGAACGCGCGACTCGCGCTGGAAATTCGCGAGATTTTCGGTCTCGTTCTACATGTCGGGAACAACACGGTGAAAGGAAGCGCCGTCCTGCGGCTCGATCGGCGGCTTCGAGACGTCCGTTATCGCGCCGCCGGTTCGAAGCAATTCGGATGGGCGAGCAGTCGGCGAACTTGAACTCGCGAGAAAAAAGCCGCGACGTTGCCTCCATCTCCTTCGATAACAGTCGATTCGGTAACAGTCCGACAGTCGTCGCGCTTCCGTCGCGATCACGTGGGAAGGCGAGTGGAAATTTCCTCGAGAAATTCCTTTATTGACCGACATGCTTTCGAGATGTTCTATTTACATATTCGCTGTGACGAAAATGTAAAGGACGACGGCGGCGGCAGAGAGAAGGCAGCGGCAGCTAAGCTCGCGACAAAAACGGAAAACAAATATGAAGCGCCGCGACTGGCGATCGCCGATGAAACTCGCACGAACCGTTGACGCGAGAAACCATGCACGAATTTTCCCGTATATGGGAACACGGACTTCAGACGGGACCGTTCGGCGATGAAGGTAACCACGGCGACGACGGCGAGGAGCCCACGCGCGGTAATCGACGGTCGCGTCCGCATGAGAGCAGCCGCAGAAAAACTGCGGAAACGCGCGAGTGAAAGAATTCAGGCCAACGCGGGAGGGAAGAGAGAGAGAGAGAGAGAGAGAGAGAGAAAAGAAAGAAATGGGAATGAGCGAGCGGAGAGTGAGAAATGAAGCAGAATGCGCGGAGAAGAGCTGGGAAGGGGCGCAAGATAATACAAAGACGAAAAAACGGGAAAAGAAGCAGCGTGAAGTTATCCAAGACGAACGGGAAAAAGGAGGAAGGAAAACTGCGAGTGGACGCAGCGCGCGAATAAAATGGAAAACGCCGTGCGCGCGGGGAGAAGAGGAAGAGAAAGAGAAAGAGAGAGAGAGAGAGAAGACGGCTGGGTGAACGAGGGGACGACGAGAGGAACGAAGCGAAAGAGAGAAAAAAAGAGGGAGAGAGAATAATCTCTCGTGCACACTGAACGAGAAGGTGCGAGAAGGTGCGAGAAGGCGGCGAGGGGGGAGCGTAGATAAAGGGAGACGCGAAGGCGAATAGAAACAAGGGAAATCGGAGCGAATAAAGGTTGTACGCGCGCGAGAAGGAGAGAGAGAGAGAGAGTGAGAGGCGACACAGGACGCCGACGGAGACGGAAACAGAATAGAAAGAGGGAACGAGGAGAAAGAGAAAGAGCGACTGCGGCTACGAGACGCGCGCGCTCTTCTCCTCACTCACTCGCACACACGTATGCACGAACGCATCGGTATAACAATGTGTCGCACTCACCGTCGGTCCTCTGGATGTTTATGCTGCAGCCGACGTCGATGTTGCATGTACCGTGATCCATGGTCATTTAGTCAGTCTCGCGCACCGCGATTGGCACCATAAAACGCGCCCGGCTTCCGTTACCACCGCAGCGGGGCGATCGCACGCGGCCGATTAATCAACTCGCGCAGCACGAACGGACGAATTAACGAATAAGCGAGATGCGTGAAAGAAAGAGAACGACCGAGATAAGGAGACACTCGTGCGACGACGGTTGACAGTTACGGGGAGCGTTCGTATTCAAACTCGCGCGGCGAGTCGACCGGTTGCCTCTCGTCCCGTCTTTCTCTGTCTCTCTCTATCGTTCACGATCCTCTTGGCGACAGCCACGACGCTCTCTCTCTCTCTCTCTCTCTCTATTGCTGTCTGCCTCGTCTTTCTCACTCTATCTCTTTCTCACTCTCCAGCTCTCTTTTCCTTTCTCTCTCTCTCTCTCTCTCACTCTTCCTATCTGTTCGTCTCTCTCGCCCTTTCTCTCTGACTGTCCTCGTCGCAGATCCTCTCGTCTCGGGAACCACGAGTTCTCCTCTGCTCGAGTCCAAGGCACGCCCGTACGTGATCTAACGGCGGCTCTCTCGTCTCCTAGCCGAACGTAACGCACCGGAGCAGCAACGCGTCGTCGTACCGTCCTCGGCCCCGTCGTTGTCGCCGACGAGACGGACGGCGAGCGGTTAATGCGAGCGCGCACGGCACATACACACAACGACGACACGATCCGTCCGCGTAGCAGCCGAATCGCGGCACGGCCGTTGGGTAGTCTCTCACGCAAGGACAACCGTTCGCTTTTGTGCCGGGATACTGCTAGTGTCCGTTATTGACAACGGAAGGACTGTGAACGCCAGCTCCGACCGGCGCGAGTCGACCGCCGCGCCACCTGCCCGCGCGAAATCGCGGGCTCGACCAGAGAGTGGTGCGAACTGGGGGCGTGAGAGAGAGAGAGAGAAAGATACGCGATGTTGGACGAATGATAGGTCAGGAGCGGTTAGTATGGTATGTCGATCTTTGAGAGGCGATCACACACCTGCATTCTTCACCGCCACTTTGAATGTTCCATAAATTATCGCTGATAGCGATTGATAATATTTGCAAACACTACGTGTATGTTTTATATTGTGCGACTAAAAACGATGAGATAACAATCAATCCGTCATTCTGCGTTTGTCCTTTAGAAAAGCGGTTGATCAATCGACTTTAGCGTCGTTTTCGTTTTCGCGCGACACGCACTACATTGTGTGTTATTTGCCCGTGTTATTTGAATTAATTACATCGCTTCGAAACGAAAGTCGTACTAGTTAAAGATATAGCCCGGTTGAGATTCGTCGTTGAGTCGCACTACTTAAATATAAAAACCTCTTGAATATGTCGTTAGAGATCATGCTCTTTAGAAACCAAAATACCAGTCTCAGTACGCTATTGCTTCATACAATTTAAAGATAAGAAGTCTCCTGATTTATCGAATTGTATTATTCAAACGTGTATTATTCAAATAGTTCGACCGACCAGTGGCTGAGTTGCACTACGACCTCGGTCTGTCGGTGGCGGCTCGTAGTGGAGTTTCTTCGAACTAACTAGTCATTTCGTTAAGTTTTTTAATTGGTGTTAACGGGCTGCGTGGCGCCATATAGCGGTGCAACAGAGAAAGCTCGTTCAACTTATGGGTTTGAATCTTAGCTAAATAAGATTTGAGTCTTGACTAAGCGACTTCACTGATAAGACACTAATAAAGATCGTTGGTCTTACGAGATTTAGGCCCAGTTGCACCAACATTATTTTGGTTTTAAGTGAGACTTAAACATAAGTCTATCTTTATCTTTGTTACTAAATAAATAAAGACAGAGATATATTTAAGTCTCACTTAAAACCAAAATAATGTTGGTGCAACTGCCCTTTAGACCGGTATTCCTAGTCAGGTGTTATATTTAAGTAGAGAGGAACGTGAGAGCGGCCAACACGGCGTTTTCGGTGACACCGATTTTCCACACTGCCGTGCGTCTTTGCGATTATCGGCAAATTCAGTTTTCTCGATTGTTCGCGCGATTTCAAGCGGTCATAATATATGGCGATAATGCATGGCAATATGTGGCAATAATATATGGCAACAATATACGGCAACAATATATGGCAACGATATATGGCCATAATATATGGCAATAATTCATGAAATATATTTTTCGTTACAAAAGTCAATGCGAATTTGCGGCATGCACAATGTAATAATAAAAGAGCTCTCTGCGAGCATTGAGTCAAACGCTCACCGATGATGATATTGATGATGTCCCGTTGTATCCAACCAGATCTATCAATGTCCGCCAATGTCCGCTGCCGCTCTCCATGTCGCGCAGCATCCATCTTGCAGCGCGTCCCACGTTGATTGCTACATTTTCACCACACTTCCGCGACGCGGTCGATATGCTTGTATTAGAGTGGCGATATTTGCGTTAATTAACGAACGTTTTACGTTGACTTCGGTGGAAATTTTTACGTGCTGCGAAATGGATTCTAAATAAACTCGATCGGCGAGGAGCAAGAACTGTGTGGAAATTTATCAACTTGTCCAACGGATTTTTACGGCGCTTTTCGCGATCGCGTCTGAAAAGTCGCGAAAATGCGATATCTACGAGTGAAATATTCTATAGTCCCTTTGACAATATGAAAATATACCTAGGGCTGTCTTTAGCATTATCTCGTCAGTGGCGATTTGCAGAGAGTTCTATACGTTATTTTTTCTAATTCAAAGGCCTCCGCCACCATTTTCACTGACAAATCGAAATCGTAGTACAATTTGATCATTAATTGGATAGGTTTTTTAATTTTGAGATAATTTGACTCAATGATGAACCAAACAACATTTTATCGTTAAGTTGTACAAGTCAACGACGTGTGTGTTAAATGACTGTCTTATTTTTAAATAATACAATAGAACAACAAGTTCTCGAGAGACTTATTTTTAAATAGAACGACTCAGTGACGTTGTAGAACAAATCCTTACTTAATAGTATATTTATATTTAACGCAATTAAAGTTTGACGGTAACTTTTTCTTAAAATATTATTTATACTCGTATGAAAATTCTGTTTAGGACCTTTTCCTATTTAGGCTAAACCTTTCATAAATTGTTGCACCATCAGTTTCAATTCCTCCAAGAACTCCACTCCAAAATTGTCAGACTCCAGCAATCGTTCGATAATCCGCGTCGCCCTGTAAAATTACACCAATTACTATACTGAAGGAACATATCACATTTCCATGTAACAATCTCGCAATCATTTTAATCTACGCGTAAGTATCACGAATTTACCAAAACCAAATCGATTTATGACAAATCGAAATGTTCTCACCCGTCTTGTTTTCGCGCTTCAGGCAGTCGCGAAGGCAGCTCGCCAGCCTTAAACTTATCGTACACCTACAAAAGTCGTTCCGTTCTTAAGCATAAACATTCACAGTAAAAGATAATCGAAAGACATCAAATTGTCTTGTCTCGCGTGTGATTGCGATTTTCCTTTAACTTCACCTCTAATGCTCGCTTGATCACTTGCTCGTCCAAACCCGCGCTTCGTGCAGCTGCATGTGCGAAGCTACGTGTCGCGTGTCCGCTAATTAGACGGTAAAGATATGCCACGGTGCCATCGTCGTTCGTGATAAACTCGAAGGTCTACAATGACAAACAACGTGATTACAAAATCAGGACGTTCCTGATCCTAGAGCGCAATCAACTAATTCTCGATTCTCTTCCGTTCCATCCCGACAAAAATACACACGATTAAGAGTAAATGATTAATAAGTAGCAACTGGATGTGACTGAAAGGTCACATCATCATTCGATCACCATCGAATACGAGCTCGTCAGTCACCTGTTCTTCAATCATCGGATCACGCGGCAACATGTTGATTACCCGGTGCATATGCGTAGCCACGAAGACGTGCGGACAGTTGACACCGCGCTCGATAAAGTTGTTCAGCACGGCAGCAAGCAACGACAAACCGCTCACCTCGGATGTACCGTTACCGAATTCATCCAAAATCACGATGGAATTCGGCGTGGACGCGTAAAGAGCGGAGTTTATCTGAAAGAACGATTATTGCTGAGCGAGCTCGATCAGCGCTGCCAGTCGCGGTGACCGAAGATCTCTCGCTTGTCACAAACATGATGATTAGTGAACTAAACTTTATGAGCGATGAGCAGGTACGAAATGACCAATGAATAATATCGTCAAATATCTGCTTTTTCGAAGAAAGAAGCGCGAAGTAACTCGTAAGAAACAGTCGGAGAACGATACGACCCGCACCTGCCGCATGTCCTCCAAGAAGGTGCTCGTGCTGAGCGCGACGCTTGTCATAGACGTAAGCTGAGTGAGGATGTGAGTCACTATCCCTATAGTGGCCGATTTAGCCGGCACATAGCAGCCGATGTGAGCCATGAACACAATGAGCGCGACTTGTCTGAGATAAGTGCTCTTGCCGGAGGCGTTCGGGCCGGTCAGGATCTTCACGAGGCTGTTCCCGCTTCTGGAATAGGTGTCATTGCAGACGAATGTTGTCGTCGTGAATTCTTGCAGGGGATGCCGGCCTTGCTCCACTGCTATGATCTGTTGCTCCACCAGGCACGGCCTTACGTAATTGTGCTCTCGTGCGACCACGTGAAACGCCAGCAATCTGCAATCGTCGACGAGGACGTTAGACTCCCGCGTGCATCCCAGAAGTCAAGAGTTCTCTCTCTCTCTCTCTCTCTCTCTCTCTCTCTCTCTCTCTCTCTCGACTTGAGCGTCTCATCAAGTGTAAAATCGCTCGATCTCTTTATCTTGTCTACAAATGGGTAATTTTGCATAATGAGCATTGATGAACATTGCTTTATTTTTCGCGACTCCTCAAGAGAAGTAAGATCTGATCAGGTTCATGCGACTGGACGAATTCCACTTCTGAACTCAAGTCATTACATGTCGGATTTTCTAACGTCACGTCTCTTACGGAATAATGAGAGACACTTACGTGTCCAGTTCGGCGCACAGTTGAATCGCGCTGAAGATCGGCGCGGCGTGCTTATTTATGTACTTGACGAATTTCAGCATGATGTAAGTCTCCCGCTTATTTATCCTTAAGAGAATGTCGCCGATGGTGTCGTCCAATTCTGAAAGACGGGAAAAGATCGAAGAAGGCTTTGGACGATCTTGATGCATCGTAGAATTGAGAACGATCGTAACCGAAGTAAGACTAGCCAGCTGTACCTTTAGCGCCCGGGCTCTTATAGTAGCGTATATTGTTGCTGACGAACTTAAACTCTAGATTCGGCAAATCGGTGTCGTCGCCTGGCGACGGGTTCCAGCCAGTGATCGCCAGGAGATACCCGATATTCGGTATGTAGACCATCTTGCAGGTCGTCACCGACGGCGGGAGGTGCTCCTGCATATCCTTCTGGCCCATTTGCGTCAGCGTCTCCGGTAAGCTGCTTCTCGTGTGATGCACTGTATTTTTTCGATACTCGATGTAAGGCTTGTCGATGCTCTTGAACAATCAAGCGCGTACAAAGTACGAAGCTACCTTCCGATAACGCAATTTCAACAAATTCTACCTCTCGGACATGAAAAATGTGAAGGTCGCCCCTGAAGGAGACGAGTTATTATCGGCGACATATCACGCTATGTGAAGACGAGAAGGCTTACGCTTGTCCAAGTGCGAATCCACGTTCGACCGGACAATGAAATCGTGGCCGGACTCCTTCCTGCCGAAGTCTACTATGTGCTCGAGGAAGTACTTGATGTATCGCACTTCGTTCGTCACGCTGTCGACGATCTTGCCGAACAGTCTTGCTTTCTTGCGCTGCTTCTCGCACCCGTCGGCGATGTAGATGATCGAGGAGACCGTCTGTGACGTCGAGAGTTAACACAAGACGCGAGGTGCGTTAATAAACGTTACAAACGAGTTGCCCAATGCAAAATCAGCAGCAAGGAAACGGCAAAAAGGGAAAGGTGTGGGGAACCTTGTACAAGCGCCGCCAATCGGAGATCTTAGCCTGCTGTGCCAAGCATCGGTCCAGGGTAACGTTGGTCAAACGATAGAGGTGCTTCAAGTACGACGTCAAGGTTTCGACGATGCTCTGGTTCTCCGGTTTTAAGCAGAATTCGACGACCTCGAGTCTCGCGTTGAGAGTCTCGACGTTCCTCGTAGGATGCTGCAGCATTTTCCTGCGGTGAAGCGTAACGTCGCCCTTATACAAAGCTTGCGACAAGTCTCACGTATGAAAACTCATCGGATTACACGATAATTAATTCCGATTGACTTGGGTCGAATTAGCAATCGAGACCGAGCGTGTTTGCGCTGACGTCGTAATACAGTTGTGTATCAAAGCGCGCGACATCAAGCAAAGTCGCACGATACTTGCCACAGAAACTGCGTCCCGGGACGCGATTGGCAACGATTCAGGAGGGTGAAGAGGCTGCTGCTCTGCTTCTTCGACGTCGCGTCGCCGCACTTGAAGAGGCTCGGATGGTGCTTGGCGTGCACGATATGCAGCGCCTCGTAAGTGTCGTCGTCTATCATGACAATGTCGCGCCTGCGAGTCCCGTTCGCAAGCATGAAGCGAAAATACATACACCGCACATCTCAGGACCATGAAGAATAAAAAGCATCTCGGAAAAAATGAGAAGCAAAGGAGAAAACATTTGCGCGTTTTCGAATGGTGAAGAGTAACTCAACAAATAAATTGTTCGAATCAACATGTTGACGTCCGTCGATTGTGTGTTAAGAAGGCACACAATGTAACCAATTTATCCCGTCATCATTAGATAAATGAATAAATGAAAAAATAAATATTAGGTTATCCGATAAACTTATAAGATTTTAGATTTATCAATAAATTGATATATTCATTTTTACTAGAAACTCAAAGCCGATAGCTCTATAGTCAAGTATAATTTAATTTTCTTCGCTTTCTATATCCTTCTGTCATTGAAAAAACATCGTATTATCGACCAAAGTTATGCTCAACTATGAAAGTATCGATTCTTTTAACTCTTTGCACAAATTCCTCCAAACTTATCGGACGAGCCAATAACGTCAGTGCAGAGGAGAACTCGAGGACTTACAACGTCAAACTAGTCAAAGACACGAAACTGGGCTTGCCGGAGGGATTCAAAGCGAGGTTCGCCCAATGCTGGTCGACGTAGATCAAAAGTAGACCCAAAGCATGGATCATAACGATCGACCTGAAGTTCAAGAAACCTTGCAAGAAGACAAGCCTCTCAGCGTTGTTCGCATCCATCGGCTCCGACTGAAGCTTGAGGCATCGCACCCTGTGATAGCATCGGTCGTAGCCGTGCTCCTTCTTCCGCATCACCTGGAGCGAGACCCGCGCCGGTCCGTCGCTGCCGCTGCTGGTCATCGATCTGCCCGGATCGCTCGACGTCGTTTCCGACGTTACCAGGGCCTCGATCGCGCCGAGGAACTCCTCGGACATACCTGAGATCGTGATGACATGGCGCGGCCGGCACTGCCTGTATAGCGCCTTCGTGATGTTGAAGTATACGCCATCGTCGTAGATGTCGTCCATCACGGACAACTCGGATGTGAGGATGTTGTAGTGAGCCGCGCCCAAGTGATTGTTCGACCAGATCATAGCCAAAATGATCTGCGGGAATGAACACATTAGCGGTCGCTGCGGCAATTACTTTTCTTCCATTCTCACGTGATCTCCAGTTGCATCTACGCTTTCGATGAAGAGAACAGATGACTCGCATATTGTAATCTGAGTCCTCTCAGGGAAACAGACTGACGCTTTCGATTAGAGGTCTATGTGAAATAATTATGGCCTCTGATAGTTAAGAGCGCGATTCGCGTTTTGCCGCGTAAGGACGAGAGATAAGCGCGAGCGATTGAATTCGCGTTCCGCTTTTCCGCTGGGAGGCGACGACTTGCCGGCTCTCTCTCTCTCTCTCTCTCTCTCTCTCTCTCTCTCTCTCTCTTTCTCTCCACTTCCAGCGCAATTACCGTCGCTGTCACATGAATTACGCTGAAAGCGAGCGCTGATGAAATTAACCGACGAACGGAGAGACAAATCGCAAGTTACAGGCAACGTTGTGCTTAGATGTGATTTTAAAAATAGCTAGAAGGTAAGATGATATATGTAAATTCTCTGGGCACTTTGTCCTGATTACAAATGAATCCGGGTGCGATCTCAGTCTTAGTGCCGTCATACGCAAACATCTACGACGTTCAACATTTTACATACTTGCGGCGATGTAGACAAAATTATCTGTGAACGTTATCTTAAGTAATTCCGCAAAGACATTTTCTTTCAATTTAGAATATGAAGATAATATATATTTGAATTATCTAAGTAAAAAGAAAAAGTTGGTGCCAGAACTTGACCTGCATGATATGACTATTTGCATAATATTATCTGGATAACAGCGGAACGCTGGTCATAGAACATTAAACAACGATCGAAGTATTCGAAAGTTATTACTTCCGCGCGTGCCCGCGCGCACATTCTGCAATTTGCGACCTTTTTCCTTTCTTTCGGACGCTACGGCTCGTCTCTCGTCGGAAAAATCGCCGAGCCACGTCGCAGAACTGGACTTTTCAAGTAATTGCTTCCTCTTGCTTGCGCGCGCGCATGCGCTCTGCAATTTGCGCGTGTTCTTGTTTTTAATACTAGCCTCGTCTCTATCGGTAAGATTCTCGAACTGCGCGCTGGAGCTGGACTCGTTCCGCCGGACTGGCATCGTCGTCGCCGGGCGCGACTGCGACGTAGGGACGGTTTGCACGCCGGACTCCTCGTCGTCGCTGCTGTTTTCATTCAGTATCGACTCGAATTCCACTTGGCTGTGGTAGAAAACACTCTTGCGAGGAACGTTTCGTGCTGGTCGCTTTGATTTAAAATTCACCTGATCGCGGAACATACAGGTTAGCCAAGAAGGGAGAATCCGTCGCCGCGACGTTCGGGAACTTCCACGAGTTCATCCTTTCCTTCAGCCTTCTTTTCTTCTTGCTAAACGACGTACCAACGATCCTACAACTTCCAGGGCTCGATTCAAAATGGACGTTTGCCGCATCGTGCAAGCAGCGCGCACACATCGGGTCGCGAAAGTCCCTATGTTACGTATCTTTAGGGGTTCGTCGGAGCAACATGAAGTTAGCAACTAACGGAAACGATTTCTCCGACAGCGGTCTCGGTCTGCAGTGTTAACTTCAAATGAACTTGAGTACCAACTCTCTGGAGTTCGTTAAGAACGCTAGACGCGCACCTAACAAGATTAACAGGCTCTACTCGACGCGGGTAAATAAGATACTGCAAAGTATTAGGTTGGTGCAAAAATAATTGCGATTTTTACGTGTCGAATATAAAGACGCATATATCAGTTAAAAATTATATTTATTAATCGAAATAAAGGCCATTGGCCTGCACACATTTCTCCCAACGGGAAACAACTTTGTTTACTCCTACAAGATAGAATTCTGGGAAAGATGACTAGAAAAATTGGCGCCAAACTTAAAAAATGATAAAAACCGCGATTATCTTTGCAACCTAATAATTTGAAGACCGGGCTGTCTGTCTTTCTCCGTCGGTGTCGGACGCGCAAGAGGCGGAGGGGTGAGAAAAAATAATGCACAGCGCTAATTAACAACGTTATCCTTTGTTTGATTACATTACATGAGCAAATAGCGCGCGGTTTCGCCCGCGCAATCGTGTTATCTGTACATAATTACAAAATACTGCCCTAAACCTGTTGAGTAATGTACCCGGTATTACTGGTTCTCTCCGTCGACGTGGTTTCATAAAACTGGTTACAAAACAACATCGCACGCACGCACGCGTGCGCACACAAGCTTGTGATCTTTGATTCCACTCTTGTTTTTTTCTCTTTTCCATCTTCCTCTTTTTTTTTTTCCTTCTTCTTCCTCGTCTTTGTTAATGCTTATACGGCAAACACATAAATAGTAATGGATGGACGTAGACCGAGAGTCGTACGGAACACATTTGGTTAGGAGTTAGATCGTGTTACTTGTTACACACCATACAGAGTATTACTTGACATTAGTTCCACGTACATAATGTTGCGTGAAGAACGATTACTACGTCGCGCGCCACCTCCCGCGACGATCCATTATGTACACGCGCGCGCGCGCGGGAAAACGTCGAGGAAACCCGAGGAGTACTTTCCACGTCGCGTTGCGGAGAAAACTATTCCCCCGCTGACGAAATCCCAGTGAGCAAAAAATCATTGACGAAACGTTATCGCGCGCGACGTGTGACGTTACCTGATGTGCGCTTTTCAACGTCGGCACCGACGGCATTACGATCGCCAGCTCGGCCAGATGTGCCGATGTCTCCAAAATAGTTTCGCAATATTCCGACGGATCGTGTTATCTTTACGTGTGATACTTACGAAAGATATGTCAAGTATCACGCGAAGACATTCTCGAGAGAGAGACACGCGAAATCGGTATCCCAAGGTACGCTACTACTAATCTGACGTTTCTTGTTTACTGGGATCGTTCGCTGCCGAAGAAATTTCTCTCGCGCGAAATATCTCCTCGATGCGAAACTCGGCAGGTTTGTACGCTCTCGACGTACTCGATGTTCCACGAACGTTTTCGAACGATCTTTTTGGTTCAGATAAATCTATATACGGGATACGCGCCGAAGGGGTCCACAAGGAGCCAGAGCGAGCGCACACATATACATACACATACATACACACACACACACACATACACACACGCCCACACGTACACACACCCTCCTCCTCCTCCTCCTTCTTCTCTTCTTACTCTCCTCGAATCCGATATTTCGCATACACACGAAAGAGGAGAGTCGAATCTCCGCGGAGGAATTGGCCGGAGAATCCGCAGAGTAGCTTGTCGTCTTTCAGGCGATCCAACGAGCGGCCTCTAACTCGGTATAGGTGGAGGTGGCTGCGGGTTGAAGGAAATGGGTCGATAGCTCTTCTCCCTCACGAAGGGCTGCACCGCGTTCAATACGAAGCCGTTCATAGGGCTTCGCTCCTGCTTGACTGGCTCCACCGGGCTCTCGTCCTCCGAGCTGGCGGCCTCCTCGCTGCGCTCTGGGCTAGCCGACCTAGTTAACCGTTTCTTACTCTTTTCGCTTCGTTTCGACACTCCCTCCCTCCCCGTCCCTCCCTGCCTCCCGTACTGCCTACTTTGGCATGAGCAGAGTGCGACTCGCAACCCGGCAAGTCATTACATCATCGCCGTCGCGTCGCACCGCGACGCACCGGACGACGAGAATTCCGCGCCGAATTCCGCGCCGAATCCCGAGTGACTCGAATGACGCGATTCACACGTGCTCTTCGAAACGGAAACCGCCGCCGCCGCGGCGACGGGGGACTCTCTCTCTAGGCGGTGTGGTCCACGCGGAGGAGATGAATATTCTGCCGCAGCCGAGCTGCGCGACGCCTCTGCTGTGTTTGTCAACGCGCCGAACGCCAAGGCGAACGCCTATTCCGACGCGCCGCCGAGTGGATTTAGTAAAATATTAGCATAGTCCGTATATAGACGCAGGAGACGGGACCGGCAGCGAGGAACGGCGTCCTCGCCGCGGCGTTCGGCGTGTCGCGGGAGATAAACCAAGACGCAGCATCATCAGCGGAGGAGCGACGATCTCTCCCTCTCTCTCTCTCTCTCTCTCTCTCTCTCTCTGTCCGTCCCTCTCTTTCTCTCTACTTCTCTCATACATGTATCCGATGCGTTCGTTGGTTTATCCATTCTCGCACGATGCCAATTTTGCCAGCAATACATATCCGCTATATGCCATCCTCGCCCAATGTAGTAGTTAGAAGCGCGACCGTCTCGTGCCCGGCTCGCGTGTTTCTTTCTTTTCGTGTGTGTTTTTTGGTTCTTTTTGTTTTTTTGTTTTTGTTTTTAATGAAGCGTTGTTAGATGACTAGAGGTGTTAAGACTACTTACTTTACGCCCACCTTAAAACCTGCGTAGGATAAAAAATCAGAAAAAGCCAAGAATTAGTGGGTCGCACAGATTCACAGCGCGGCTTCGTTGCCGAGTGCGATTAGTAGATTTAATCACTACGTCTAATGTAGCGGACACATCGATACGCGATGTGACTCGCGCGTTAACTTGCGACGGAGAGAACGCAAGACAAGCTGTGCCGCACCGAGGCTCGGCCGTCGACGTGTGACGTCGGGATAATAAACGGACCGTAAGCCGTTGCGAGTGCGGTGTATGCCGAAGCGAGCGTGGAAAAACGGGCCCGAGGTCGTCGAATGGGAATGAGAGAAGGTGAAGACGGTATTCTGTGAAATTTCGCGAAAGAAAACGCTAATGAAATGACACGAGAGATGACTCTCTCGTCGCGTTCGTCGCGTCTGATTTTTGTTCGTCGGCTCCGTCAGAAAATTCAGTTCGGCCTGTTTCGACGGCCGAAACCGGCGGCTTTTCGTGAGACTAGAATCTCTTTTACAGCATCTACTATCATACCAGCGCTACGAGTCAGCGAAAGATCGTAGACAACATGATGACCCCATTGCCTGTCCAATAAATAATTTCTCTCCGTTAGACACGAAAGAGCAGAGTTGCTCGTCGAGTGGATCGTCGAACCGAACTTTTTCACTGAGCCGACAACACCTTCGGGAGAGAACCATCACTCGCTTCGGCACACGAAGAGTATATCCAACGTCATAGACCACGCTCGAATCCACGAAAGCCCACGGAAATATTCAGGCGTCACGCTTACGTCCGCAGCGACTGTCGTCGCTATTATTTCGGCAAACATTCTCAGGGACGGGTAGGGGGAGGGCGAGGGGGGTGGGGTGGGGTGGGGTGGATGTGAAAAATCATTACCTCAAGCGGAAGTTAAAGGTGTAAGATTGTATCGAACGTACCTAGAGCGTAGGGGCTTGCTCTTGCCGCCGGCCTGCCTGGAATGCGGTCTCGTGTTCGGTTGCGATAGCTCGCTGTCGCTGCTCGCTAAGGAGGATCTCGCCGCCACGGCCCCGTGAGCAAAATCTTTCCTATTAGGTAACGCGTCGGGATTATTCGCCATTAGCGGTTTCGTCTCGCAATCGCGGTCTGTTGTATGCGGGCAGCCTTAACATGGCACCGGGCACGTGAGTGAAAGTGAATTCAGAGACTCCCCGGAATGACGCCGCGTACGTACGTACGTACGTACGTACGTACGTACGTATGTATGTATGTATGTACGTAATGCGCGACGGACGAGACCTTTACCCTTCTTGAACCCTTTTGCACAGCCCACATGTCTCATCGCGCTCGCTTCCCGCTTTCTTTCCGATCAAACATCGCGTTGTAATCCGTATCGATGGAAAGAGATGCGTGCGCCAGTGGACATGTATCGATTGTACAGTCTGCTCTATTTTAACGGATTTGAAATCCAATATTGAATAAAATAAGTAGTAAAGCGAGGAATGAATAAGTCAAAGAAATTGAAAATTTCACATTAAAAAATGTTTTCCTAAAATTTTAAATTAATTTTTCTTTAATTTCCTCTACAATTTCTTGTTTAATTTATTCTAAAATTTAATTCTTTTAAGATTCTTCCTAACACTCGTATTATAAAACCTAGAGTCTAATATTTTTTTTTAATTCCTTCTAAAATTATAAATTTAAGAATTCTCTCGGACGCATCAGTTCGACGAAGAATCGCAAATTTCGCTCACCTGTAATTATCGGACCTGGGCGTGGAGCTCAGATTCGCAGCTTTGCCGGCGTTCGCATCCACGAAGACAGGTGAGCTCTTTGGGATGTCGCAGACCACCTTGGGATGCACCGTGGTCTGCTTGTATTCCAGGTGCGACGACGACTCCGGCGCCCAGTCGTAATACTTTGGCCGATAATCTTTGTATTCCCTCTGCTGCGGTTGATGCTGTTGCTGCTGCTGCTGCTGCTGATGGTGATGATGATGCTGATGATGCTGCCTAGAATCCGCGCTTGGGGCTCTTTTGCGTAGGTATTCGTCGCTGCTGACGCTGCTCTTCCGTATGGTGGTCAGTTTCGCCGGTGGTACCGACGTCGGTGACGACGCGGACGACGAAGGCGCGCCATCGGGATCCGCGCGAGACAATTGCGAGCTGTCCCATACAGTGGGCAGGCTGCTGCAATTGGAATAAGTGATCGATGACAAACCACTCGCTTGATCTCGAGAACTAAGGCAACAAACTGCCAAAAATATTCTTCTCGAAAACTCTAATCACATTGTAAAAAGATGATAAAAAATTATAGTCTCGACTCTGATACCCCAAGCACATTTCAACATTTCAACAACTAGCAGATAAGCAAACGTGGGTTTCTTCGGACGGCAACAAGTGCGACGACACGTTTACAAATTTGTTTAGGTACATTATTGCACGCATTTCAGCATTTAAAGTTCAGTGAGTCGTATCGTCGTTGCATTCGCGGCCGCATCAGGAGGATCCGAACGAGAACACATCCGCGGGACTCACCTCAGGTTCTCGTCCATGCTGTACAAGCGAAGCTGCTGCCTGATGTTCGCCTTCTCCCTGGCTCGTTTCCGCTGGAACTCCTCCTCCACTTTACGCATCGCCTCCAGCTCGCCCTTCCTCTGCCTCTCCTTGGCTTCGGCTTCGCGCGATAGCTTCTCCGCTAATCTGCGCCTCTCGATCTGCCTCACGGTGCTCTGGAACGTGAACCTGCGACCCTTCGAGTTGATCTTCAACGGCAGCTTCACCTCCGGCGAGATCTCCTTGTCGTCCTGCAGGTTCTGCTGGCCGCCGCTGGGCGGCGAGCTGCTCCGCTGCTTCATCTCCGAGGAGATGTTTTCGCAGGACTTGGAGAACTTGTTGCTCATCTTGCCGTCACTCGCGAACGACTTGTCCTTCAGCACGCTCGAATCTTTGGAGTATTTGTTCGTCCTCTCCGCGTCCTTAACGGGTTTGCTCAATTCCTCCACGCCATTCTTGCGATACTTTGGGCCACAGTTGTTACCGGAGTTCTTCTCGTTGTCCGCCATCATGTTGGTCCTGCAGTTCAAACTCTGCGACTGGTATTGCGAGTCGTTGGACTCGGGCAGGTACATGACATGACCACCAGAAGCCAGATACGAGAAGGAGGGTGGCTTCATGATCACGGGGAAGTCACCGCGGTCCTCCAGGTCCACCTCGTCCAGCTCGTCGACGTCCTCATCTTCGTCGTCGAAGCTGGGCTTCCAGCCGGGTGGTGAGGATCGCGTTCCGTCCGTGATCTGAGTGTGCTGCAGCGACGTCGGAGCACTCGTCGACAACAGCCAGTTGTCATCGAGGACGTCGCGCGTACGTTTCCTCTCAAGATCGAGCGGCCCGAGGCCCAGGGCGCCCGACACCGATCTCTTCAGCTTCTGCAGCGAGTTGAACGTCGAGCCCTCCTTACCCTTCACGTCCGGGTTGTACAGGTACATGCGATTGTCATCGCGCGGCAATGACAGCGAGAACACGTGCGCCCTGGGTGGGAATTTCACCGGGGTCGGCATGGGTGGCGGCGAGTCCACCCCGGCGTCGCTGCTTGACTCCTCGCCCAGATCCTGCTGCGGAGTCCACGTCGGCCTCGTCGCCGGTGTCTTCAGTCGGTTGGTGGTGCTGACGTCCAGAGAGTCGTCATTGGCCGCACCGGCATCACCGGATATCCCGGAGTCGCCTGACTTGTCGTGCGAGCTCCGCGGGCCGAGAGCGATCAGCGGCGGAGGTGGTCTCGACAGACGTTCGATGCGCTCCTCGAACATCACCTAACAGCAAACGTGTTTCTTAACACGTTGAGCGATGTGGTGGCCGGTCGCCGGTGACCGCTATGATTTATCGCCGTGTTTCACATCGAGTTACGGTATAGGTCGTTTGATTTTTATTCTCTTCTCCGTCTTTGCCTTTATTTTGTACAGTTTACTACAGTTTCTATGATCGATGTTGTAAATATTAAAAGCATATCGTTGTAAATATAATTTTAATTTTTGTACATGATTCGATATCATAGGTCGCAAAAGGAAATATATAGATTCTCTAGTAAATAAATCAATTTATTCATTAATGTATCTGAAGCATAGTTGGTTGTATCGCGCAAGCGACTCAATCGATCGGTGCATTCTTTGATCTCACTTACTCGATATGCGCGTCAGTGATCGATCGCACTTGGTCCCTGCTAAAAAATACCCTTCGCACACACTTACCGGAATTTCCTCGCTCGCTGTACTCATGGTTGGTCCAGGTGCCTCCAGCGCCGACAACAATCTCCACGCCGCCGACGGTGAAAATCGCGGGATCTCCAGCTGCTTCTTCGGCAGCGTGGGCCGCAATTTCAATGAGATATCCTCTATGCCGCTTTTCCCCTGAAAATCACGAGTGTTCCTTCAGCGAAACTCATCAGCCAGAATTTTACTCTCGCTCTTTTCTTTTCCTCCCTTTTCAATCGAGTCGCACGGTCCAATGATAGTGTTTTCATTACCGATTCGACAAGTGAATCTGTTTCGTGTGAGATAACGCCGACAAATGTAAAAACAAAGTACCAACGTTACTACTAATATTAATATATTTAATATATTTAATAATATATTATAACATGTCATAATATATCAATCAATTATATATATATATATATATACGATTGATATATCAACACAAAAGCCATGTATTAATACTTTCAATTATACCGGTTGGTAATATTTATCGTTATATCGATGCAACACTAATAATATATTATCATTTCGCATCGTCGATAGAAAAGAAAACAAAGAGAGAAGCACGTCACTCACATCGTCCGTGTAATCGAGCATGCACTCGGCCGAACCGTTGACTTCCCTGGCGTGCAACCTCGCCTGGAGCTGTTCCATCTGCTGGTCCACGCAGTTCCGCGGCTCGTTCGTCAGCGCGTCGTCCATGCCGAAGTAGAAGGTCTTCGGCGCGGACTTCTCCGGCGACTGCAATCTGCAGAAACGATCGAGAACGACATCTCAGGCTCTGACGGGGTGATTAGCGAGAGAGCGAGCGCGCTGCTAATTATTCATCGGCTTATCGCCGTCGCGACGCGCCGTCGTCGGCGGAAAGCGGGCCAATAATCGCTTCCCTGGTGCTGCCCGCGACGCGTATCTGCGCTCACGTCGATAAGGCGAAATAATTAACGGAATCGCGCATCCGCGAGTCGCGAGCCGCGTGATAACGAATCGATCCGCGAGGGGACGCGGAGAGGAGCGACTTACACGTGCCAATTTTTCTCGCGCGCTTCCTTGGCTTCAGCCTTCCTCGCGAGCTTCTCTTTGGAGCTCGCGTCCCTCTTCTCCGTCGCGGGAACTGGTTCGGCCCACCTCCTCTCGTCCGCCGCGCCATCAGTATTCCTAGCGTCGCTCTTCCGCCATCTACGATCTGAATTCTCCTTTTCTCTCTCTTTGGCCTCCGTACGCTCGGGCGTGCTCTCCCTACCGGAACCTTGGCCGCGAGGATCCGACGAGGATACCCGCTCCCTGCCGCAGGTCTTGATCGCCGGGCTCTCCGATCGGCTCCTTCCCGTATCCGTCGTCTGCTCGTACTTCCGAGTCTTCGCCACGCTCTTCGCCCGCTGGTAGTCCTCCATCAGCTCCCGCCGCTCTTTCTCCGATGGGAAGGACCTCTCGCCGCCTGCACCTGCGGGATGCCCCACCGCGTCCGGGCGATCCTTGGCGCCCTTGCGCGCAGCTTCAGCCCGCGGGGCTTCCTGATGCGGCAACGCCGATGACCCGTCGTCGTCGTCGTCGTCGTCTTCTTTGTCGTCGAAAGTCGTCGATTTCTCCAGCAGTCGTCTCTTACCGCCCGAGCCCGCGTCCGCTTGCCTCTCCTCCAGGTAATCCTTGCTAATCCTCGCGTTACCCGTGCGCTCGTCGTAAGCGCCGAGCTTCGTCTCGGGTCGAACGCAGCGCTCGATCAAGCGCCTCTCGTCGACGATCATCCTGTCCTCGATCATCACCCGCTGCTCTTCGCCGGAGCCTTCCTCGTTCCTCGCCGAGCGCTTCTCCGGCCTCTTGGACTCCTCGACCTTCGCCTCCTTGGCGCATCGATCGACGTCACCCGCGCGCTCCAGGGAGGAGACCTTCGCCGAGTCCACGGACGACCTCCCGCCGCAGTTGAGCTTGTTGCGCACCTTCCTGGCGACCTGCATCAGCTCCGCCTGGAATTCCGGGCTACTCATGCTCCTCTGCAGCGTGTTCTTCCCGTCGAGGATCCGCGAGCGCCGCTGCTCTTCCCGGCACCATCGCTCATGCTGTTGCTGCTGCTGCTGCTGCTGCTGGCCGACTTGGTGGCTGCGCCAGGCCAGCCTGTTCTCCTTGTTGCCGGCGCCGTTGCGGCCGTCTTCGCCGCCCCGCCACCGCCGATCGCGCTCCGCACCGTGGACGTTCTCGCAGCGCTCCGCGCTCGCCTGCGACGACAATGCTGACGAGGACAGCCAGTTGACCTGCGCCCTCTTGGTCTCCGCGCGCGTCTTGAACAGCCGCGATCGCCGTGGTGGCTGGGGCTGGACCTCCTCTTCGCCGCGGCAGCCACCTGGCCGATCCTGACTGGATTCCGTGCGTTTGTCAGATGAGATTCTTACATTTGGCCGCGGTGCCGATCATCGCGAGCGATTAGGGAGCGATCGGGAGCGGAATTTCTGGTGTTTTGCGGAGAGGTGAAAAGAGGAGGAATTGTGAACTCGAGTTCACAAGTCGACATGATCGGATCGATCTCGGTGGTGGTTTTCCAGACTGCTCGATTTGATAAAGACTCCTTATTGATACAAAGACGTGTTAACGACAGATTTGTGTGACGATATCGTTTTGACGATATATCGTACGGTAGATATCTATATGTTAATTTGATATCTAAAAAATATCATGTACAGGTCAACTGATTATCAAGTCGATATATCTTCCAGATACCGCCATGAAATCTTGAAAGTATCAAATCGATCGCTGACTTTTACATGATTTCGACTTGATTCTGACATGATTTCGGCAGCGGATTCTTTATCGATTTGTCGACATAGGGAAAAGGATAAAAAGGATAGAATGTCGCGATTGCACCATGCGTCAACGCAAAGTTCAAGAATACCAAGAAGACTGTCTGAGCACGAAGGTCAGTCGAAGAGGTCAGAGTTCAATCTTCGAGTTCGATTTCAGAGAAGTAAACTAACGGAGAATAATAATGCGAGAGGGCGAAAGAGAGAAACGCGAAAGTGGAGATATGCCAGTGAAAAATATGAAATTATTTTCTTAAAAAGTTACACAGTATTACTCACACATCGTAATAAAAGTCACACAAGTGAGCACTCGAAGAATGAGGCTGTCTCATCAGAAACGTTCACCATGGTGAAACACTGATTAGCGTGAGTACGCGAAGAAGCCTAAATCGACAGCCTAACTTCAACTTGGACAATGAAATTTCGACGAAATCGGGACCTCCACGCAATTCTCTGGAATTCTAGGAAGCAAAGTCAAGTCGAAGCGAACTTCTCGACCGACCCTGCTGCTCTTCGGCCTCGTCTCGACAGCCGAGCGCGGAGACGGTATCATCGCCGCTGTATCGCCGGGATATGTCTCCCTACCTATAAGAATCCGGAGACGAGCCGTCCACGAGGCTGCTCGACGGCGGCGCCGGCGCCTTGTACTTCTTCTTGCCTTTGTAGCGGCTCTCCCGCTCCCTGGAGTCCCTCTCGGGATAATGCCCGCTTCCGCAATGCCGGTGCTCCATCGCGTGCTGCTTCCCGTTGCAGCGCGCCTCCCGCTCCATGGGCGAGTACCGCAGATCGGGCTCGCTGCCGAACCTCTTGAGCTCCTGCATCTCGTTCTCCATGCAGCACGACTCGTTCCGGTGGTGGCAGCAACGGTGTTGCTCGAGCCTGCGGCCGCGCGACGCGCCAATGTTCGACGCCGAGGTGCTACGACTGCGGAATATTCCCTGCCGACAGGCCGAAAGGACACGCTCTGAGGATAATCGAGTGCTCCATGGGAACGGACGCTGCGGGGGATCTCGATAACGCGGCGTTCTCGCCTCGCCTCGCGCCTGCCGCGAGCGATCCTGCATCATTCGTCCGCGATCATTCATTCGCCGCGATCGGGAACGAGACGCGAAGCGAACTGTCTCGTCTCGCCCGCTCGATCTCTCATTTCCTCTCTCTCTCTCTCTCTCTCTCTCTCTATCGCGTTTAATTTCTATGAATTTGTCTTCAGGTTCTCCGAAATCTCTTAGATCACACACGTCGTGAGCGATCCTCTCAAGTATCTCCGTCATTACGACCGACGAGTCTCTCATTATCCGCGACTAATATTTCGCAATTGCAAATGAAATCCGCGGTGAACCGTGTCATCATCGTGCGTTACTTTTGATATATATATATATATGTATATATATATATACATGGACTCTTTCCCAACATTATTTAACAATCTCCGGAGCCCGACTTCTCGAAAAATCCTCTTAGATACCTACGTAAAAATCCGTACGTCTCAATCGTCCCGCGTGCGGGAGACGCGAGAGAGCGGCCAAGAGTCTATACACACTCACCGACTCCGACACGTCCGACTCTCATGATGAAAATTCATTAGTGAACGCAGCGTGTTAATCGGAACGGAGCAAGGCGCGCGTAACGGGTCAAAGACACCTCTTCCCCTGCGAATGGTTACGTAAAGCCGGCAAGTGTGTTGCGTTTGTTTCGGGGAACACTGCTGATTTGCAAAACATGCGCGCGAGCATTGCCTGCTCCAGAGCCGCGTAATAAACGGAGCACGGGCCACCGTGACAAAGCGAGAAGCGGATGAGAAACCGGCGTCTTTGTGCGAGCGGGCGCACAAAGCGCCCGATGAAGGCCGCGTGATACATTTCGCGAATTTGCGGTAAAAAGTCCCCCTACGGAATACTCTCTTAACCGGGTTACTACATAATTGGTATTGGCGCCCGGCCAAAAGACGCGCGCGAATTCCGCACAGGCGCGCATTAGCGAGAGCGCCAGGGAATTCCAAACGACGGCGGATGCGACTCTGCCGCGCACGCAGAACGAGGTCCTTGCCGAGCGCGAAATAGGAATATCGAACTGGAACGCTTTCGAGGTGGAAAGAAGGTAACATCTACGGTCACTCCGAGGCTTTCAGATTTTTAATCGAGAGGGACGGATTCGCGAGAATCCGCAAGAGTCCACGTCAGTCGGTCGTTGCGAACGGTTATTTTTTATCGCATGAGAGGACTTTCAATGTTTCTTAATTTTGTTTCTTTACTTGCTTATCAACGGCTATTGTCTCTTTGAGGAAAGAAATCGCCAATAAAACGAAAGTTTTATTTGCCCGAATAGTTTGACTGTTGATCGAATTGTCTCCACAAAAACGGACAAAACGAATTGCTTGGAACCACTAACTGTGCTGGTAAAAAAAGAAAAATAAAAAAGAAAAGATTTTTGGAACCTCTGTAACGTTGATATTAACTCTTTCTGAATTTTTAGTTAGAATTGTACAGTTGTGCCGTGTTCTGTCTGCTGCGCTCGCATCGACTCGTCTCTCGTTTCGAAACTTCGCCGCTCCGCGGCGATCAACAGACGGGAATGATTAATTCGAGAATTCGCGGCGAGCGCGAAATTTCCGGCGCAGGCAAGAGCGGCGCTCGTTCTCGCACGCCACGTCATCAGCGCGACTCGAAAAGCAGCCGCCGCCGCCGCCGCCGCCGCTGCCGCGAATCCTTACCTTATTAAGGTCGTGCGGAAGCGTGAGGGCCGGCGGCCTGCGGCCGCTTATGGTTCCCCCGTTGTGAATGATGCTTCCATTATTGGTGGCGCGCAGCCGCTGATTGGGCGGCTCCGGCAGGACCTTGTGTCCCGGCTGCTGAGGATGATGCCTGGCCAGCTCCCGGGGGAACGACTGCGTCCACCCGCGTCCAATCTCCTGCGACGGCCCATTGGACGCGCAATATTGATGGGAGCTGCTGCTGTTGTTGCCCATTTCTATGCCGATCTGGCGTCTCTATGGTGTGCACGATTCGCCATTCATCTTGCATCTGGAAGGGATCAGAAGGGGGGACCAATTATCTAACGTGTTCGCCTGAGACCGCGTCCGAAGAGGATACGGCGAGATCTAATTGGATCCGGCAGGCAGCCTTGAAGACGCTCGCGCTCGCGCGACCGGCGAGAGTCGCGATTTTTTGGAAAACGATAGCAAGTGCACCCGTCAAGTGCAAACTCGCCGCGACTATCGGGATTGGCTCGAGAAGCATTGTCGCGAAGACGCGGAGAGTGAAGACGTATTGTAGATGACACGAAGACGTGTCGTTATTCTTGAAGGAAGTTTTGCCTTTCTTTTTTCATTCACGTGAGAAGCAGATGAGACGAAATATAAAGAAGAGAATAATAGAATATATGAATGAACGAACAAAAACGCCCACGCACGCGCGCACACACACACACACACACACACACATATAAACACGCACAAAACGCTTACATCATATTAAGAAGACAACGGGCTTAAACAGCTAATGAAATGGCAGAATGATCAGGACGGATAGAGAGCCAATTAAGACGGTCAATCTGCAAACCTGTTCTAATTTCCCTTAAATCGCGGCCGCATGAAAAATACTCTCGCATATTAATTTACCGGCGCTTTGCATAAGACGATTAAGGTGCTATAATTAAACGTTAATGAGAAGGATCAATTTGCAAACACGTCGCCGTCCGCCTTAAATCCCAGCCCGATAAGATTACCCTTTTGCATAATAACTCGCGGTCGCATTAGCTCCCGATACATGTAATTAATATTTTCTCCGCGAACGCACATTTTATGACCCGCCGTCACACACGTTCACGATGGTCTCATTAATGGAAAATTATTCGGCCGAATGTTAATTCTGAGAAACCGCGTTCCCGGCTCCTCTCGCTCGTCGAGTCGATGTCACGATCAAAGGCGCTTCACGCGGCCATTAACCAGTTTTAATTCGCGACTCGACACGCATCGAGTCGTTCCGCGAATCACTCTCGTGGAAAACACAATTATTGCACGCGCGCATACACACACGCGCGCGCGCGCGCACGTTATCACGTACAGTCGACGTGCGAGCACCAACGTGCTTCCATCGCGACGCGCTTTAGCGAACCGCGATCCCTTGATAAAGAAAGGAAAAAGAATACGGTTGGCCGATAACTTTCTAATACTTTGCGCCGAGCGAAGGACGACGGTTCGCGCGGGGCCATTGATAAACTACGTGTGGAGTACGAACCTCTGCGAGAGAAAGAGAGAGACAGACAGAGAGAGAGAGAGAGAGAGAGAGAGAGAGAGAGAGAGAGAGAGAGAGAGAGAGAGAGAGAGAGAGAGGGATGGGAAAAGAGTAGGGTAAACGTACGCGCGCTCGCCGAACGATCCGGGCAGGCCGGTTATCTTACAGTTAGACGTGGCTTAACCTCGTGTCAGTCGTGTCAGGACGAGAGAGAGAGAGAGAGAGAGAGAGAGAGAGAGAGGAGGAGAAGGAAGAGGAACGCTTCGGGATGCGTCTTTCTAAAGTAAGTTCTTCCCCATTCACCGGTACAGGAGCAGGTGCCCAACCTGCACACGCGACCCGTCGATCGAGCGACCGGTAGTACCGCTAACCCGGGATGAGTAAGAGCGGCGCGAAAAGCGCCGAAGAAAAGTCGGGACGGCCGAGTCGTTAAGGTAAACGACGCGCAAAACGAGTAACGCGGCTCTTATTAATGCACCCAGCATTCAACGGTATAGAAGCGATAGCGTGGAAAACTGGTTTCCCTGCGCGCACAGGGACCTACCCACCACCTTCTCTCCCTTCCTAATCTCCTCGCTCTCTTTCGGCCTTTTTGATGATCGCAATGCGAAAACGAGCCAAGTCTCGCGCTCGGATAATCGCGCCGGATATTTCGATCGGGATATCGTTCGGCCGCTCGCTCGACTCTCCGTCCAAATGGCCGTGACATTGTCTACGATCTTCTTTGGTTACGGGATGAACCCTTTCGTGCACGTAAAGTAACAACAGCGCAGGTAGAAGTCGGAATGACCAAGGCGGCGAGGAAATTCATGAGTTTCGATACACAAGTTCGAAGGTTGCTGTCAACGCAAACGCTAACAAAATCATGTTAGCGGAGCCAATTAACGCGACAGCGAATACTCCACGAGCGGCAATAAGCGTAGCGTTTAGCATCACTGCGTCATACCATTTTTGTATCATTTAATGACCATACAGTTTACCTTTACGGCTTTAAAAGTACTGGTTGATGAAAGTTGCAGTTCAAGCTCCCCTTCAGTTTCAGCGCACCGAAGCCTTACTTCCGCGGAACCATCCACCATATTACGGTATGTAAATAGTGAAATAATGAATACGTCGTAGGTATCATTGAAACGCAGTGACACACAGTGACAGCGCAGTTTTGCGCGTTTACGGAGCTTTCGAGCGCTATCAATGCGCTCGAAAGGAATAGCGTTGATAGCGCGTAATTATGGTCGTTAACGCGACCATTAGTGGCATGGTAGTGTCACGATAGAGTTTGTTAACTGTTTCATTATTCTAGTTTCACTCGCGAACAGTTTCTGCTGCGCTAAATAGCGCTGACAGTGTCTCCCTAAACGCACTCAAGAGCAGTTACATGAATAGCTAAGATATAGAAAGAGGCATGGAAAAAAAACAAATGAAAGTTGGCCGGCCAAGCGTCAAGTTGCTCGATCGACGCGCAACGGTACAGCGCGCGAATTCGTCAAGTTAGCTCGACGAGAGCTGACCGAGCGATCGACGAGGCTGACGCGCGAAATGATGCGCGAAGTGACGATTCTCTCGACGCGCAAACAAGCGCAATCGCACGCGTGTATTTGCATGCGGCGCGGCGCGGCGGCGAGACGGAGAGTTCCGCGCCTAAACTTCGACGCGAGAACACGTTTCACTTCCGCGCGCACGCGGCGGTGAAACGGCGCAGGAGGGACCGGATTGATCGATATCTCGGCCGGATCGGAAGGATAAAAACACGGCGAGCGTGTTTCTCACAGTTTCACCTGTGACGCGGTGTGTGCTTTGGAAATTCACGCGGTTTGCGCGAGCGTACTCGTGAGTCAGACGCGGGCCGGACGTAGCCGAGCCCGAGCGGCGACGTCGCGCCGATTTTCTTCCGCCCCGTCGCCGGAGCGGGCGAATCGGCAGATCGGCAGGCGCGATCGCACGACGGAAAAGTCCTCGTGGCGATAACAGCCGGCGATATCTCGCGAGCCGGCTCTCCCGGCGTCGCATCGCCGGCTCTCGACCGGCGGAATCGCGCGATTGTCGTGCCGCGGCACGAGAGAGGCCTCTCCGGGGCACAAAGTGGCAAGTGATGCATGACGGATGGCGGCGGTTATGATAACTCGAGCGTAGGGAGACCGCGGGGAGACGAGGCAGGGGAGAAGGGAGCAACTGCGGGAGGAAGAAGAAGAGGAGGAGGAGAAGTAAGGGGGAAGGAGGTTGGAGAAGGAGGAGCGCAGGGGGCGACGAAGCGCGAAGGAACTCCGGCGCGGAGAGAGAGAGAGAACGCAGCGAAGGAAGCAGGAGGAAGAGCAAGAGAAAGAGGAGGAGAAGGAGGAGAAGGAGGGCAGAGGGGGAGGGAGGAGGACGTTTGCCCCCTCGCGATGATCATCGCCGAGAGTCATCGAACTTGGAAGGATAGGAAGAACGATTCTCCGTCTGCCGTCTCTCGTTCGCGATAGCTCGCTCGCTCGCTCGCTCGCTCGCCTAGGATGCAGGATAGAGAATAGAGGCAGGCGGCAGAGCCCCGGCTATCGAGGAACTCGAATCGGACCCGGGCTGTATTCCCGGGCGATATACATACGCCCACGTGTCGCGATTGTCGGCACAAATCATGCGCTTCCTGCTGCAACGCGCGTCACGGCAAAAATATCGCGCGCGCGCGCGCAAGCCGACAATCCGATCCGATCGGATCGCGCGACGTGCTGGGTGGTTCGTTTCTTTCGTTCGTTCCGTCTCTCTCTCTCTCTCTCTCTCTCTCTCTCTACTCCTTTTTTTTTGCGCTCATTTATTTATGACGCGAGGCAGCTGGAGAGACGATGCGTCTCCCTCTGTGCGCGCGATTTATGCCAGGCCGGGATTTGTCGAGCGAGCGAGAAGCATCGGCGGGAACATCGAGGTCTCTCTCTCTCTCTCTCTCTCGCGAGAGCGGAACCGCGCTCTCGCGACCTCTCTCTCTCTCTCTCTCTCTCTCTCTCTCATTAGAGATTGGCTCCGCACTCGCTCGTTCCGCCGTTACGGAAGTATCATTCGCCGCGTGCTGCGCATTTAGACCGAACGTACGAGGGCAATCGAGACGGATAAAGCCCGGGAACTCGCCGCGATTGGGAACTTTGCGATCGCGGAGCTATCGCGCGAATCGTTATTATATCGCGTCGGTTCTCGCGAGATGAAGAAACGAGTGTCCCTCCTCTTCCAAGGAGCCATGTCCCACCCTGCCAGCGTCGCGCGAGCTCGTTCTTTCTTCCCCACGATAGCGATGGCGACGGCTTGCCTCGTGCAACCGCGCATCCAACGACTTCCAGCTACCAACGAGAACGTCTGCGATCCCGATTATTCGATCTAAATGCGACACAAGTGTGTGCAGATGTTTCTCCGGTTAAAACGCCGGTTAGAACGCCGAGTAGATCCAACGCACGAGCGCTCATACATATACGTGTGTATGTGTCTGTGGGACTTTGTGGGAAAAAATGCATCTCGCGCGAAACTGGAAAGAAATCTCGGGCTCGATCGGGACAGCGACACAGACGCTTGTTCCGTCATCCACGCTGCTGCAACGTTCTACGTCCTGTATAATCGCGTGGCCGGTCTTCCGACAGGAACGTCCTACCTTGTAGAACCGCGGCGGCTCTCGCGAACGCTCGTAAAGAACAAAATGCCAATCCAATTTCCCGGAAGGTCTCACTTAGGCAAGTCTCTCTCTCTCTCTCTCTCTCTCCCTCTCTTCCCCCCTTCTCTCTCTCTCTCTCTCTCTCTCTCTCTCTCGATCTCTCTCTTTCTCTCTATCTCGC